TGCATTTTTGCCCCCAAGTGCTACATCATCTTGTTAAAGTCAGATAGAAATTCTCTGCGTGGCTTCAGGAATAAAGCACCTAAACAGAAAAATAAGATTTAAGATTAATCGTATGTATTTGATCAGTGTATAGAAGGTCTGAACTAAACCTACAGCATTTTCCAGTAAGCTATTAGTTTATATTGTGGGTATTCCTTCAATATGTAAATGGCCTTTAGTCATTTGTGATGATACCATAGTAGTGTTCAACTTATAATTATCGCCATGTTAATATGAATTTTATTCCCTATACCTATGGTTCCTTCATTCAATCTGCATTATTTTGGTCAGTCACGGAGCTTCAATTCAGAGCCTGAGCATTGTCCCTGAGACCTTTTGCTCAACGGTAGCACTCTGTCACTTTGAGCCACTTGCAGTTTTCTAGTGGTTAACTGGAGATAAGGAGGTCATAGACCTTCTTGCTCTGGCTTCTCAATCCGCATTTAATATTACTATCCCCAATTAGTATGCTATCCCTGTTCTGTATTACTCTTGATTTCTCCATTACTTTTCTAAGCATTTAAATAAACCAGATCCTTCCCTATTTATTAGCCATCAAATAAGTTCCATCAATATCTCTTAACATAGTTCCACATTGCTCATTAGAGTATGCTGTATTCAGCAGTTTCACATTAGCATTTACACATTTGCCTTTTGAAATATTCCTGAGTGTACTTTTCAGAATTCAGCTCTTTCTTCCCCTCTTTATCTTTCAATTTGTAGGAAAGGTTAGTTATATGTTACAAAAATACGCTTCAATGTTGCCTCACAATGTATTTAATATAACAGCTAGTATTTGATGGAAGCTATAGAGGCAAAATAGTAATAGTTGACTCATGGTTAGATATGTTAATGATTTTATCCTTGCTCAATCCCCTCTATTAGGATAGTATAAATACACATACATTAAATAGCCATTTACAATATTTTGTTGTCACACTATCAGTAGATAACAGAGCCTTTTTACTCAAGTCTAATGTTCTACCACTTTGAGCCACAGTGTCACTGCCAGTTTTCTGTTGTTCAATTGGAGGTAGGACTGTTACACTACTTCCTGTTACATTTTTCAATCCTCTTATTTGCTCTGTTATATAAACTTAATTAAACCCTCTCTCCTGATATTTGAGTTTTTTGTTCTGGTAGCTAGTGGAGAAAGAGCTGTTGTTCAATGTGCTTGGTTTCCAAGAGAGCCATAGAATCTTTCTCAAATGAGCCTTTCTCTAGCCATATAACCATATAACATAAACTGAGTGGATGAAAAACAAAGATTTCTTTGTTTGCCTTGATCCCCAAGATCAAGGCAAAAGAATATGTGATGCCTCATGAGAGCCTATTCCATGTTTAACACAGACCAAACTTTTTGATGTATTGCATATATATGAAAGACAGAAAAATCACACACTTGGAGCATTCCTGTGGGCACTACATTATCAATTCATCTTAAGGGGCGGTAATTTTCCAACATATCATATGCAAAGAAACAAACAAAAACTCATCAAAATCATTGCACTGATTTGAAGATAAATTTTGAGGTACTCCTGATAAATTCCTTATGTCTATTGTGAAGGCTTGTATTCAAGAACTACCAGTTTATTCTGGCCTTGAATTTTGCTGTTGAAATCAATAAGAACCCCAATATTTTACATAACATGACTCAGGGATTTGATAACTATAATGCTGATTACAGAGCTTAGTCAACACTTGAGAATACCTTTGTCCGGCTTTCTGGTCAGTACAAGATCCCTAATTACACCCACTTGAGAGAAAGTAACTCTGTAGCAGTACTCACAGGATTATTAGGAATAACATCTGACCAGGCTGGGACACTACTGGAACTCTACAGGTTGCCACAGGTGAGGATGGTAGGGATGCTGATGTGAAAAGATGTCTACTTTTGTGCTTTTATACAGGGACATGGAGGGAAAAGACATAGAAACCTATCAAGTTTTATGATATCAAAGACTAAATACACAAAGTGGGATATTCATGTTCCCATTGGTTGGAGCAGACTAGGGAATGATCTGGGGCTGAAAGCCTGTTGAATAAATTTGTGGAAAGCTACTAAGAAGTGGGAAATAACTAAAAATATGAATTTCTAAAAAATGTGAAATTAGCTGGGTGCTGGTGGCTCAGCCTGTAATCCTAATGACTCAAGGAGGATGAGATGTGAGGATCTTGATTGGAAGCCAGCTCTGGCAAGCAAGGCCATGAGACTCTTATCTCCAATTAACCAGAAAAAAAGCTGGAGGCTCATGCCTGTAATTCTAGCAACTCAGGAGGCTGGGTATCTGAGAATCGCAGTTCAAAGCCAGCTAGGGCAAGAAAGTCCATGAGACTCTTATCTCTACCAGAAAACTGGAAGTGGGACTTAGGCTGTAAGTGGTATAGCACCAGCCTTGAGCAAAAAACGCTCAGGAACAGTGCTCAGACACTGAGTTTAAGCTCCAGCACTGATTTAAAAAAAAAGAAAAGCAAAGCTGGATGTGGACCTGTGGCTCCAAGTGATAAGAATGATAGCGCTGAGCACTAAAGCTCTGGGACAGTGGTCAGGACTTGAGTTCCAGCCCTGGAAAATAAATAAAATACAAGAATAAAAAAATTGAAGTTATTTCGTGAATGAAGTCAGACTGAGAAAGACAAAATGAGCAAGATTTTTCCCCATATGTAGGAATAAAATCAAATGTTTTTGTTAAGATAAAAACATGAAATATGAAATAAATATGAAAATGCATCCATGGCCCTAATCACATGTACATGATAAAAGTGACTAAAGAATGGTGTACAAAATGGTGGCTTTTCATGGTGTCACTGTTCTAAATAGCAGAAAGTTAAAAAAAAATGTTTTACCTAATAATAGGGGTTAGTATAAAGGGAAAGGTGTGGAGAACAGAGGACTGAAGAGAGGAGTGATGATGACAAATACAATTATAATACTCGAATACATATGTAAAAATAAAATGAGGCAATAGATGGGGGAGGATAAGAGAAACTGTTATATAACCAATGGGCATTACACAGACACTGACATGCTCAAATTAAAGATCTTTGTACAACTATTTAAAAACAATTTGAATATTGTTCCCCAAACTAAAAAATACCCTTCCTTTCACTGATTTATTCCTTTTTCCTAATATGAGTGAAGACTGAGATTGTGAAGGATGGTAATCCTTTTATAAACTCCCCAATTTTCTTTTGCTTTAGCTTAACTGTGGGGCCTTTAGATTTTGTTCTGAATGAACAAAGCAAGTTTGCTTCACTCTCTCAGATGGCCCAAAATGACACATCACTAGTCATTGCCATGGTCTCCTTGATGCTTCATTTCAGCTTGAACTGGGTAGGACTGTTGATCTCACTAGATAAAAATGGTTTGTGGATAATTCCAGAACTGAGAGAAGAGATGGCCAAGAGCAGAGTCTGTATAGCCTTTGAGCATGTGATTCCAAGCAATATCCTGACACATGAGCACCACCAGATTTATAAATTAGCAAACGTATTTAACATTTATGGTGATAATGAATACCTCCTGAACTTTACACTGAGGCTGCAGATGCCACACACATGTACACACAAGAGCAGCAATGTGCTGATTACATGTTTTCACTCACAGAGATTCTCTGTGACCACACTTGCAGCCATCTTCTCCTGGACACTGTGGCCAGATATCCCAGGATGCTCTAAGTTGTGAATGATTCCTGTTTTTCTAGCCCCCAGAAATTCAATAGCTAAGACTTAGGATAATGCACTACACTACAGATAACAAAAAAATGAAACATTTTTATAGGCAGTAACTTTCTGATTAAAACTTCAAATAGCTCAGTAAAGAAGAACAAGAATTGACAAATAGGATTACCTCAAACTTGAAAACCTTTGGCAGAACAAAGTAGAGAGTCACTGGACTGAATAGATAGCCTATAGAATTTTTCAAATAAACATCTGGCAAGTTATTATAACCAGAATATCTAAGCAAGCTCAGAAATTAATTCCTAAGGACTTAGCAAGCCAATTAAATTGGCAAATAAATTTAAAGACACTACTCATAACCACAAATATAAATAGCTAAAAAACAATACAAAGATATGTTCAACATCCTTGCCATACTGGAAATGCAAACTCATACGACATTGAATTTATCATGTACTCATTACCTTACTCCTGTAACTGTAACTCTTTTGTACAGTATCTTTATAATAAAACATATTTTAAAAATACCTGTTTGCTGGTGAAAGTTGAGAATGCAAATATGCAACTCAATCTCCGCACTGACATTGACTTATTAACATGCTAATTGCTGGTTTCAGCATGATCATTGCTTCCTTAGGCAACAGAAAATAAGTGCATTTGTTGAGGTCTCTTATTGAAGCCTTCTGTGGCTGTTATGGACATTGGGGGTGTGAACTGACCCTCTGGGTGGGATGTTCTAATAATTTGGTTGACATCTCACTGGCATAGCCTTTTACTGGCCATTACACCATGCACCTGACATGGCATCCTCTGATGCAACCAGTCACATCATCCCAAATGGTTTACATGCAAATACTTTCTTGACACAGACATTGGTCCAAATCTATTAAAGTTAACTTCAACCCTTGGGTCTATCTGTGTTCTTGGATGAAATCATAGCACCTGGAGTGAAGGAGAACTTGTAAACATATTTTCCAACTCATGTTTTTCTCCTGGATTAAAGGTCTCAGATACAGAGTCCCAGGGAAGAGTTTTACACATTCCTCCTGGGGCTTCAAAAGAGGGTTCAATGAAAGATAGCCTACAGTGTACATCTCTGTCAATAAAAGGACATTTGCAAAGACATATGAATTATATATATCTGACACTGGGGCTCATTGCCAGCAATTTCAGCCTGACATATGCACCCTTTGACTTTCACACTCCTTCTTCAGTTTCCCCTTCTTGTTAGGTCTTTGGCTGGCACTAGCTGCTTTTCCAGAATGAAACATAGAGCACACATGGATGGAGATGTGATGATTGCTGGGTTTTTCCCTCTCTACACTTTGGGAATAGATCGAAGTAAAAGTGATGCTTCCAACCATGAAGAACACACACCGTAAGTAACTCATCATTTTATTTCCATTCCTGTTTTGTTCTCAAGAGGGGCAATGGCTGGGGGAATCCTGGGTGTTCTCTGCATCCTCAACCCTGATCTTCCAATGCCTACTGCACCACAAACAGCTCATCGTCATTACTTTATCCTGAATCTGCTGTTGAGTGATTTTCTTCTGCTAGTAAGAGAAGGCCATAGTTTCCTTTCAAGTAGCTTCTCCTTTCCAAAGCTGTAAGCTCTTCCCTTTACTCCAGCATCCTTGTATCTCCTCCATCCAAGCTGTCATTGCAGAGGATGAAGTGACATTGTTACAACCTGTGTCAATGGCACAAGTTCTGTAAAATGCTGTAGAACTTTCCTTTAGAAACACTATATTTTGAGGACATGGATAAAATTTCTTATTGTAGGTGACTCATGACTGTAATCCTAAGTACTCCAAGGCCTTGATATCTGAGGACTGAGATTGGAAGTCAGTCCAGGAAAGAAAATTAGTGAGTCTTTAATTAACCAGTCAAAAGCTGAACGTGAAGCTGAGGATCAAGTGTCAGAGTGCTAGCTAGCCTTGAGCAAAAAAGCTCAAAGACAGCGTCCAGGCTCTGATTACAAGCCCTAGGACTGGTACATGCAGGCACACCTGCACATGTACCCACACATGCACATGCACAATGTTACTGTAGACAAGCTGCTATTGTTTTAAACTAAGCCCTGTGTCATTATTTCATGCCAGATATGCTCCACAGTCCAGCTGTTGCCAGGCAGGACAGTGTTATCAAACACCATTTATGGGAGAATTTTATTCATCCAAGATAAGTTCTGCTTTACTTATGCACATGTATATCCTTGGTTTTTGTTCTATAGCAGAGGGTCTCACTAATAAATGGCTATACAGAAAAAAGAAAAAAGAAAAATGGCTATACAAAACTTCAAGAAATTCTAGCAGTTTACTTGATACCTATTGCAAGAGAAAATGCTATTGCCTCTATCATTTGCACTCCTTTTCAAGTAGTGGTATGACAAGTGTAGCCTAATGTGGCTGCCTGCAGTTGGGAGCAGAGATGGCAGTGATAAGAATTACTCTCTTTCCTGCTATAGAAGATATGTCTCCTTATCTTATATGTCACTGGTATGTTTTCTTACTTTTCCCTGTTTGTGTGGGTTGTAAGAACTGAAGTCTGGGTGCTGCTCAGAGCTGTTTATGCTCAAGGCTAGTGCTCCACCACTTCAGCTACCGTTCCACTTCTGGCATTTTTTGGTGGTTAATTGGAGATAAGAGTCTCGCAGACATCATTTCTGAAGCCGACTTTGAAACACAATCCTCAGATCTCAGCCTCTTTTTTATGTTTTTTTTTTATTGTGAGCAAGGTAATGAGTACATTTCTTATCAAGCATTGTTGCCTCCTCCTTTGTTTCCCCTTACCATCCCTGCCCTCCCACACCTCCCCCACTCCCACCTCCCCCCACCAAAATTGTAAAGTTTGTTTTTTGACATAATGTCTTGTACATCTCATTGTTGCAATGGGTCCACTTATATCCCTATTTAAGCAATTTTTTTTCCTTCCACTCCCCAAATTATACCAACATGAAATACAGTGAAAACAGGGGTTATACCATGGGGGAGGGACCATTTTTAGCTTCCTGAGGTAGCTATGATTACAGGTATGAGCCACTGGTGCATGAGTTGCTTCGCACTCTTGATTGGCTTTTTTTCCCCAGGTTGATGTTCCACCACTCGAGCCACACCTCCACATCTGGCTTTTTGTTAGTTAACAGACATAAGAGTGGCATAAACTTTTCTGCCCTAGCTGCCTCTGATTCAGGATCCTTAGATCTCAGCCTTCTGATATCTGGGATTAACGACATGAGCCATGAGCACAGGCAGTTTTACTATCTTGAGGAATCTCCAATCTTTTTTTATGTACCGTCACCAAAAGTGCATTTTTTCTTGGTTGATGGGTAACTCATTGTCACTTTGACTTGTACTGCCCCAAGTGCTCAAATGGCTGAACATTTTTTCTGTATTAACTTTGCATTTGTACTTTTAATTTTTAAAGCATCCGCTTGTGTCTGTTCTTTAGTTTAATTTTTCCTATTAGTATTTCAGTTTTAGAAATGTTTTAAACTATGGTATTAATCCTTTATGAGATGAATAACTAGCAAGATTTCCAACTATTGAATGGCTATCAAACATTTTTTCATTGCAGTAAAGCTTCAATTTAATGTAATCACAGCTACTTTGCATTTCCATTGCTGGGGGTACAAGTTAGGGTCTTGTGAATGAGACAAAAGGTTCTACCACCTAGCCAAATCCAGAGCTTCATTCTTGATATTTTATGAGCTCTTTGAACTCTATTAAAGTTACCTGAATATTTCCTCACATTTTCTCTACTACTTGCCAAGTTCTGGTCTCTTATTAATAACTAATCTGTTTTGCACTAAAACATACAGGTTGAAAGACAGGGTCTAGTTTCAGTGTTTGACACATGAATACCTAGTTCACAGTGCCATCCCTTACTAAGAGTGACATCTTTAGTCCATGTATTATTTGGCAACTTTCCAAGAATCAGATTCTTGTAGATGTTTGCAATTATTTCTTGATTTTATATTTCATTGACCTATGTGCTTTTTAAGTCACAGTACTTTTTTTTTCTGCTACTTTAATTCTAACAGGAATGGTGATACTCCAGTATTTGTCTTGTATCTTAAGATAGCTCTGGCTAACTGAGGATTTCCTTTTCATAAAATTTAGGCTTGCCTGTTCTATTTCTGTGAAGGAAACAATTGGAATTTTGATGGAGACTGCACTGAATCTGTATATGGTTTTTAGTAATATGACTATTTTCACCATAATGATTCTGCTCACCCAGAATGGGAAGTATATGTTGATATGTGCAATTTTGATTTCCCCTTTGATTTTTCATGAATTTTACTTGAGTCAACATTTTTTGTACAACATCCTTCTTTCTTTATTATTGTTATTGTTTTTATTATCTTTTTCTACTAATTCTGACTTTTCTAGTTCTTTAACATGCAGTGTTGATTCTTTAGTATAGTATCTGTACTCTTGATTTAAGCAAATGTTGCTAGTTTCTTTTTATTCCCCTTTTCTATATTCATAGTCTGATATTTTCATTTTCATTTGCTTCAAGGATGTTTATTGTTTGAAATTTGCCCTGAAAAACAATTCATTTAGTCATCTATTAATCAGTTAAGTTGAATATTTCAATTAAATTATTTAACTAATTATGGTTGAAAAACAATTCACCTAATTTTCATGTTATGTGCATATTTTCCTGTTATCCTTGTTAATGTCTAGCCTTTCTACAGTGTGTTCTACATGTGTGCTCAATATTCTTCCAATAGTTTTTAAATATGGATGGCTTGTGCCCTAACCCATTATCTTCCCTGGAGAGCATTCAGTATGAGAGGTGTACTCTGAATTTGGTTGAAATGTTCTGTAGGTGCACCGATCAAAGGTATAATTTCTCTCTGATACTTCCCTTTTGATTTTGTCTGATCTCTCCATAAAATATTCAGCTATTATTGTGTTAAGGACTATCTCAAAGTATGCTAATATAGTTAAATGTTTGAATAGTTTGTAAATATACATTTAGAATTACTGTCATGTTGTAGATTTGATCACTTCATCATTTCATTAGAAACTTGTCACTTTTCATTGCCTTGATTTAAGTCTATTTTGTGTGATGTGCTATGGATATTTTTGCTTTCTTTTGGCTTTCATTTGCGTGGATTGCTTTATTCCACTCTTTTCTTAGTCATTGGGGGGAATAAATGAAGTAATTTTTCTTACAATTGTTTGGCCCTTTTTTATTCATTCTGTCATTCTAGTTCTTTTTTTTATTGTGAAAATACTGTACAGAGGGGTTACAATTACAAGGGCAAAATAATGAGCACATTTCTTATCAAGCATTGTAGCCTCTTCCTTTGTTTCCCCTTAACATCCATTCCCATTCATTCCCCAACCTCCAATCAATCCTCCCCACCCCCCCACTAAAGTTGTAAAGTTCATTTTCTTTATTTTTAAATTTTATTTTATTTGTGAACATACTGTACAGAGGGGTTACAATTGCATGGGCAGGACAATGCGTACATTTCTTACCAAGCATTGCAGCCTCCTCCTTTGGTTTACCCTTCACATCCCTTCCCAGCCTTCCCCCTCCCCCCAATCCCA